GGTCAATTTAGCATTTATTTTTTAATTATAATATTTATTTTTAATTAAACCAAATATCTAACACATTTAGTCATATACTTTAATTCATACTTGAAATCCACACTTTACTATTAAATTGTGACTTAAATAATATAAACTTTCAATTGACTATTTGTTTCCTCCATTTAACTTCAATTAACACACTATAAAATATAATTATAACTCCTCTGATTTAATTATTTTAGAATTGTAACTTACATCATATTTTATCTTATAAATACTCATTTTTACATCCTCCTCTACCATATCTGATATTCTCAATATTTTTTTTGTTTAATTTTTAATGTTCTTACATGGGTTGAAAGCTCAATTAAGATATCATTGTAAGAGCTTGGTTATATATTTGGTTAAAACTTTTGTTTTCAATTATATTTCTTCTTCATTTTATGTACTTCTTCATTTTTTCATTGTTTTTATACTATTAAATGTATAATACATATGTATAAAAATATTTTATGGCTATAAGGAAATTACTTTATCAATGGGATTCAAAAATATTGATTTCTGACCATCGCATCATAAGAAAATCAAGCTAAATAAACTATTTTCATTGTTTTACTTTATATGTTTTATTCTTTCTCACATATTCATGTATATTTATTTTATTTTCAAAGTATGTAATTATTTTAACAAAATATTTTTTTGTTATATTGAAACCAATTTGTAAGACATTGAAATAAATAAAATTTTATACACAAATAAAGGTAATTTTTGTGTATATTTATAAGTTTACACACATATTTGGATAAATTTTAACATTTTTAGTGGTTGTTTTGATAAAGTTTGAAAAGGGGGTAAATTTAAAAAAGGGGTATTTTAAAAGGGTATTTTTTAAATTCTCCCAATATCACTCCTATTTTTATCATTAACAATATTATTGTTTTATCAAAAAGTACTTAAAAGTACTAAAGAAAATTACTATCAAAATTGATTAATTGAACAATTAATCAACGAATAAATTCAAAAGATATGGATGTATGCTTCTATTGTATGATTTAAATAAATAACATGTAAAAATGTCATAAGCATTAAAATTTATTTAATCTTTTTTTTATAAGTAATAAATAAATTAAAATAATTAAATAAATATACAACAACCCGCGCATATGCGCGGGACATTACCTAGTATATTATATATCAAACTATGTAAATTTTATATAGCTCACAGGTAGTTGGTTAAAGTCACAATTATAATGATAAAGCAAGTTATGAATAATGTTTTTTACGAAATGAATATGTTACGGGTTGGTCCTTCAAAAAATATATTGTAAATATGTAATTTTCACGTATATTCCTATTTCGACTACAAAATTGTCATAATGAATAATTTAACGACAAATATTATTTCGTGCTGTTAAATTTTTACCTTGTTTTTAATTGTATCAAAACTCAATATATGATTATTTACTCGCTTTTTCTTTTATTATTTTATTTAATTTTATTATTCAAATATATGATTAACTGTAATTGACTGCACTGCACTAAAATTAAAATGTAACATATTCTAATCCGTTAAAGGTTATATATATGTTAATATTTCCCTTGCACTGTAGCGCCGGTCCGAACCTAGTTTAT